AAGCCATATTATAATATCGACTGAGATAAAGAAGAAAATGAAATATTAAAATCATGATGCATCTCGCTGCATTGCGCGAGTACGCTTCTAGTAAATATTATATACTTAAAAAAAAACATACATTTTATTTAAATCACACTTGATTGTGTTTGTATAATACTGGCTCTTAGTTTAAACATTATACAATACATTAATAATTCTTTGACTCACAAGAACAAACTGAATGAACTAGATTATTCCTCACTAAAAGTTTACATGACCTCCTCCTATACAACCATGAAGTCTCTTCCAAACTCCAAATGTCTAAACTTTGAATGTGGGGTCAAGGAGCTCACATGCCCTCAATTTTCATACCTTCGCACACCTAGATGAACCCACAGGGGCAAGATCCTATTCTTAATCTTTGCAAGGTCAGGTGTGAACTTACTGATCTCGCTTCCAGTTTTACTTTCAATATACACAGATCATTCTTTGATCAGAATATCCATTAAACTCATAAAAACTTAATTCTATATCATTTTCATTTATAACATCCATTTGTCTATAATTACATCTAGGCATCTCTTTAGCACGACCTTGTGCATAGAAATCGAACTTTTTACCACTTTATGCAAATATGCATATTTCTCCGATTTTCAACCATTAAAAGGCTTTAGTTTCTCACATTCAATGTAAAATCAACACCGAACACCCTTATAACATGGAGTTTGTATGTTGGTTAAATACGAGATTACAATCCCATTCCAATTAAACTCCATGACTTTCTCCTTTTAGATCTGTCATGTCTCTTTTCAAATATCTGAAAATCGACCACTTTATTTCCTCAAAGTCAAACTCCAAATACAGTCATCCCAACTCTTGTACTCACACTTTCGTCGATTGTCACTCATAGTCCCTCCTCAAACTGATTTTCAACAATTTTGCCCCTATTGGAGGCATAACAACTTAAAATTTTCCAAACTATAAATCTTAAATAAATATTTTAAAACTTAAAATATTTTATTCAAATTATGAACTCAATATAAAAATATGTTTGATAGGGTCATTCACATTTAATATCAAGACAAGAGAGATCTTGTTTGGGTTGGGCCCAATACCACCACAGGAATTGGCTCGGCCCATATATTTACGGGCCTAGTAATTCTTGGTCTAAGACCTATGCTTCTTCTTTCCTCCTCCGGCCTCATAGTCGAGCAAACCATAAACCCTAAAAGCACTTGCCTGCGCCTGCCATTCTGCGACCCCATCTTTGTTTGAGTTTGATCGACAGGGCTGCATTGGAAGATGAGTTACAAGGTGAGTATAATCCAGATTATCCTCCATTTTACATTTGCTTTAATCTATTAGGTTTTTTGTAATGAATCTTGTTTGTTTTGATTAGGATTTTCTGAAATGGCGACAATTGATTGTGTGCTTTGCTGTTTTTGTTGTAGTTTCATCAGTTTCAGGTTGTAGGCAGAGCCTTGCCTACGGAGACAGATGAGCATCCGAAGATCTACCGTATGAAGCTCTGGGCTACCAATGAAGTCCGTGCTAAGAGCAAGTTCTGGTACATTATAATCACTTTCTTCATACACGAAAATAATTGTGATTCCTGTTGCATTTTACATATATCTATTTGCTCTTCGTTGTACGGATAGGTTCATAATTTGTTTTTGGAAAACAGGTACTTTCTGAGGAAACTTAAGAAAGTGAAGAAGAGCAACGGTCAGATGCTAGCTATCAACGAGGTAAAAATCCTCATTTTTTTTAATATATTCATATATGTTGTTTATCCTCTTCTTGTAAATGAATTGACGTGTTCTCTATTTTTCTCATTTGTTCATGTGTAATTAGTCCAAATTTTCTGTGTGTATCCGATTGCTATATGAGCTATTTCATGTGCAAATTATCTATTTTAGCTTTCTGCTTGTGGGTTTGCTAATCTATGTACACAATATTTGTGGCGATCTGCTGTCTTCCTTTTTTGCAAGATATAAAACGGTGGCTGATTGATGTATTATATAAATGAAGTTGAAGTGCTAGTTGTTTTCATCTTGCTACTTCATGTTCTTGAATCACGTATTCCTGCTTGCATTTTGTGATATTTGAAGTAACTTGCTAAGCTTATTTTGGCGGAGTCTGTCTGTTATCCAGCTAAGTTATAAGATATTTGTGTTTATCAAGTTATAATGCACAGCTAGAAAGCTCTGTAGGGAAGTTAGAAGGCAGCATGTTTACTTCTTGAGAACTCTATAGGCTTCTAGAACCCCTTGTTTTTTTGTTTGGTATTTGGTAAAGTTGTAGAACGCCGCTAATTGGACAAGGTAATGATCTTATGATTAATAAAAGTACATTTTGGTTTATACATCATGAAATTGCTTGTGGAGTTATATATTTATAGGTGTAATGTGAATTTAAATTTTGAACTCATTTGGTTATATTCATGACATATATTTGATGCTTGATTTGGTGAATGCTGTTGGCAATTTAATCCCTTTAATTTTACCAATGCTTTGAATTATTCTTCTTTTAACTATTCATGATGTTCAAAGATTTATTAGTGGTGTTGAGTCATCTACTTCTATTGTTAGCAAGAGCAATCTTCAACCCTTGTATCAATTTTAAAGCAATAAGGAACTGGTGTCAATACATTGTTTTCATGTTCTTGTGAAATTTCACTGCATTGTTTTTTCCTAAATGTTGTTCAAGTTCTTGTGATTTTTACACTGCCAAGTTATTCAAGTCATCAACTTTTTGAAGTTTAGAAATATTAAATATAACTTGTTTTAATGAAAATTCTAGCATTCTTGTCGAATCATCAATATTCTTTAGATTTAGGGTTCATGACTATTTTATGAAATTTAATATCATACACTGAATGTTGTATTTCTGATATAGGAGACACTAGTTTTTTCTTACCATCCTGCAGAAGTGCTAGTGGCATGGTTTTCCACACCAATGACATTAATCATATAAGTTTTAGTATCTGATTTGAATATGGGTCTACTTCTGAGTAATAACTTTTATTGACATGATTATGATGAGGGGAAATCTTTGGTTTTCGATTGTGGGTTAACATTGTGGTCTTAGATACGAAGTTAGGGTTGTGATTTTACTATGATAGCTCTACATCTTAAAGATGTTGAACTGTTGTTTTCTAAGTTACTCCCTCTGTCCCGAAATAAATGCTCACAATGAAAAAGGTACATAGTTTTAGAATTGTGTAATTATTATACTATTTAATTAACTAAAGGAACAAATTTACTCTTAATAATAGAGAGGGTAATGAATTTATGCATCTCATAATTAAGGTAGAATTGGAAAGTAATTGCTTAAGTCTGAAAGTCTACACTTATTTTGTCACAACATAAAATACAAATGTGGATGCTTATTTAGGGACGGGAAAGTAATTGATTGCATATATGTTGTATGATGAGATGTTAAAACCATTTTTCTATTACTTGATTGCATATTGTGTTAGTTGCTAGTATTTATATCGTTCATCATCTTCATACAGATTTTTGAGAAAAATCCAACAACAATTAAGAACTATGGCATTTGGCTGAGATACCAATCCCGGACTGGGTACCATAACATGTACAAGGAGTACAGGGACACCACCCTTAATGGTGCTGTTGAGCAAATGTACACTGAGATGGCTTCCCGCCACAGGGTCCGCCATCATTGCATCCAGGTCATCAAGACCGCCACCATCCCCGCCAAGCTCTGCAAGAGGGAATCCACCAAGCAATTCCATAACTCCAAGATCAAGTTCCCATTGGTGTTCAAGAAGGTCAGACCTCCAACTAGGAAGCTGAAGACCACATACAAGGCTTCAAGGCCCAATTTGTTTGTCTGAGTTATTGGTTTTGCTGTCTGTTTAAGTAAGCCAGGTTCTAGTTTGAATTTTTGTTAAACTATTTGTTATTTTCTGATCTTTCGGATAATTTGTTGGTCTTAAAGATTTTGGGTATTATAGAATGGCTGGCCATCTTGCTTTGAAGTTCTTTAGCACCGTTTGACCCTCTATTTGGTACTTTTTTTTCCTCTTTTTTCTGCATTATTATGGTGCAATTTAGCACAGCAACAAATTTCTGTATTTCCATACCATATAGATATGCATTCTGCAGGTGGTGCTATGAACACACTTCAATTTAGTCATGGGGTTTTTGTTGAAAATTTGAAATTGCCACATGGCAGGCTGTTATTGGCCAGTGGAAGAGCTGTTTGGATTGTTTTTGTGCTTCTGTGATAAAAAGTCTTCTAATCACCAAATTGTCATTCAGTTATTTAACATGAGGTCATTTAATTTATGCTTGTGTATTATCTGTGTTCATTCAAATCGTCCACACTGCACCGTAAAGTATGATTTTTAAACTTGTGGTTCGTATTTTTACTAAAACATATTATATGGTGTGATTTGTGGTTTTATAATTTGTAACACCCCATTCTATTGAACTTATGAGATATGTCACAACCGAAAACGGATCAAAAGTTTACCATTTACGGTACGGAGCTCTAATGAAACTTAAAAAAAAAAACATTACAACCATTATATTTCATAGCACTAACATATTCACATAATAATATAGCGAAAACACTATATTCAACTGCTAGTCTTTTCGCATTCTAAGCCATCTCGACACTTCATTCTACCCCTAATCAAACTATGATTTAACACAACATATTTTGTATTTTTAAATTTCATAGAGTAAATTACATTTTTAGTTCTTGTAGTTTGTTAAAAATTTCTATTTTTGTCCCCGTGGTTTTAAAAGTTTGTTTTTCATCTCTATAGTTTATAAATAATTACCTTTTCATCCTTGTGATTTAAAATTTATTGTTTTTTTTCTGTCCATATAGTTTACAATTCATTTCATGTCCTTCATACTTAAAAGTAATGTTTTAGACTCAGGGAAGAAAATAGAAATGAATTGCAATCCATATGGATGAAAACCGAAATTATGGAACCATAGGGACGAAAACTGCAATTTTTAACAAACCATAAGAACAATAAGGGGTTGTTTGTTTACCTCTTAATAGTTACATAAAGAGACAACCTCTAAATAATTAAGAGGTGAATCTTGTTTGGTAAAAAAAAGTCTGTCTCTTAATAGTTTCAAAACATTCTGAATGATTTTGTATCATGAGTCTCCCTAACCATTCAACGCACTGATTTCATTGTAAACAATTACCAGACGATTATATTTCATTTTGCACTATATCATGAGAGTCTTCTAATCATTTTGATCACTTAATCATTCTACACCAAAATCATCCAGCAACTGCTAAACAATCCTTAAATGTAATTTACTCTTTTATATATAACACACATATAGGAGTAATATCCTGCAAACAAAGCGATTTGTTCATTTTAGTGAATATTTCATTAAAATTGTTTAATATGATGACATTGTTTCAAATAATTCATTTCAAATAATTATAGACATTATTATTTTTATTCTATTAATTTTAGTAAACAAATTTCATTAAAATGAGAAATACATGAAACAATTTAGTTTTCACTTAGAAATAAAAATATATGAAACATTTTCATTATGAAATGAATTATTTGAAACAATGTCATTATATTAAACAATTTCATGAATTTTTTTCCACTAAAATAAACAATGAAATCGACGAATTCGGATTAAGTTTATGGTTGTTTCGGAGTCGATAAACTATACGGCCTTTACTTTTCACTGTTTGTACAAATAGCTTAGTATTTATTTAATATTTTTGGATTTTGAGTTCCATCCAAGTGGTAAAATTAATAAATTAACTTAATAAGTTTGTACTACTTTTAATTATATGATATATATTTGGGAATGAGACGTATTGATTTTTTTTTATTAATTTGGACTACGGTCACTATATCGTTAATTTTATAATGTATTATTTAACTTATAATTTTTGGATTGTAGGCATTAAGTGCGATAGAGACAAAACGTATAAACCGTGCAGTTTGCGGCACGGTTTGAGATTTATGCGGTAAGGCTTTCGGTTGGGAAAAATGCTCAAACCACATATGCGATACGATTTACAGTTTGGCCCCAAACTGCATCCACGAACACCCTTATTGTGCAGGTTCTTTTTCCTACCTTTTCCTTCCTTTTATTCTCAAGTATCCAACTTTTCAAATTTATGTAAATTTGTGATTTCGGCTTTGATGTATTTTCGGGTTTTTATTGAGTTATAACAAAATTTATTTGTGATTATGTCGTTTTCCAAGTGAAAATGTCTCACAATTCTAATCTTTTTGGGTTGAAGCTTTTCCTTTGGATACCGAATTTGTTAGCAAAGTAATTGTGAATATAATAAAAAAGTAATGACGTCTTGTATGACAAAACTACGATTTTTTGACACTTTTGTCATATGGGAAAGAGTTTCACTGTCGAAAAATCTTAAGCGTGGTTTTGAAGGACATGAATTCACCTGATTCGTCCATCAGAATTAGGTGAGAAGGTTTGACATTTAGATTGAGTTGTGAAACATGAATTACATTGGTCATTTAATTGGATACTTAATGCATAATAATCACGTATTCGGTTTGTAAGGTTGTTTTTTAGGGATTTAAATTTTATAAGGGGGTTTGGGTTTGGATTTGGATTTGGAGGGATTTAGTTTTTAAAACTACTGAAATTTTTGTAATATATATAGCATGAAAATTAACAAAGAAGCCCATATCATATTCATCATGTCTTTTAGGATCCGTTTGGTTTGTAAGATTGTTTTTGAGAAATTTGGATTTTATGGAGGAATTTTGATTGGATTGAATTTGAAATCATTGGTCTGTTTGGTTTATAGGATATGGAGATGAAATTTGATTCCATTATTTATATAAAAAAAGTTACAAATAATTGTAAAAATAATTAAATTACATTTTTATTAATTGATTATTACACTACAAAAATGTTGGGTATTTCCCTCGCTGATCCGTCGCTGAAAGGGTTGTCCGTCGCTGATCCGTCACTGATACTCCGTCGGTCAAACAGTCGTAGGTAATGCTATCAGCGACGGATCAGCGACGGAAATCAGCGACAGATTTGCGATGGACACTTTCAGCGACGGATCAGCGAGGGATGTACTTACCGACGGATCAGCGACGGATTTGCGAGAGAATTATCAGCGACGGATTTGCGAGGGAATTATCAACGACGGATTTGCGAGGGAATTATCAGCGACGGATTTGCGAGGGAATTATCAGCGACGGATTTGCGAGGGAATTATCAGCGACGGATTTGCGAGGG